ACTAAGGTAACTATACTTAGAACCCCAATTAGGGGACTTATAATACTTACTAAGCCCCATGATCCTCCAAGTAGTCTTTCTAGGGGTTTTAAGTGTTGGAGCCTTCTACAAGGGGCTTAGGATGTAGTAGAGTTTACATTGTAGGGATTTTGGGTTTTTCAGTGTTATATATATATATATATGTGATATATATATATATATATATATATAGAGACGTGTATATATATATATATATTGGTTTCGGGTGTGTTTGGGATTTGGGACCTGAATCCTCTAAAACCTCAAAGCCCTAAAGCCCTAATCTCATGTTAGTATTCTTAGTAGTACATGTATCAGTATTTCTACGATGAGTACTATCCTTAGCGTTATCGTAGTGTTTTTCCGAAGGAGACAATTGTGTGGGGTTCATGCAACCCTGGGGCCGAAGGATCTTGCAGAATCTACTTGGAGGATCCCGGGCCTTAGTGAGTAGGGTTCCTCAAAAAGGGTCCTTACAGGAATCCTTAAAGGGTTTTTTAACTAGGATCACGGGACGTAGTAAGTAAGTAAGGTTATAAGAACCTTAATTGGGGGGATAAGTATTTATCCCCTTTGCTCTTTTTTTATAACCCTATACTAGGTCTCACGATCCCTCAAGTAGCAGTAAGATGCATGCCTTACACAGATCCCTCCTTGCGGAGATGTTGCTTACGATTGAGGTTGAAGGCTTATGAGGTTGAAGGCTTCCTCACTTAACCTTTGCCCCTACAAATGCATGCATGGATGTATGGATGTATGGATGTATGGATGTATGGATGTATGGATGTATGGATGCATGGATGTATGGATGTATGGATGTATGGATGTATGGATGTATGGATATATGTATGTATGTATGTATGTATGTATGTATGTATGTATGTATGTATGTATGTATACCCATATAGATATACACAGACACACGCACTTTTTATGGTTTACGTACACATACATACATTCACACTGCATACATTGGCATACAACATGCATACATACGTATGTACATGCATACTTACAGACATCATTACACAAATGCATATCCGCCTGTGTGTTCTGAAGCTTTTGTGTGGATTAACCCAAGACCCGAATGCCTCAAGCTTACGGATCCCGAATAAGTTCTGAAGCCGCAACACCCCACCCCAGGACATGTTGCACCGTCGGCCGTTTACCCTACACTGCCAGACCTTAAACCCTAAATCCGAAATTCCCGAAGCACCACAAGGCCACAGGCCATAAGTGCCCCAGGACGACAGCGAAGCGGACTCACCCAAGGCTGCCCGGAAGAAGAAGCCCGAGGCAGCCCACAAGGCGCACAGAATCCCCCGGAAGCCCTGTAAGGGACCCTTTAAGGGTTTAGGGTTTAGGGTTAGGCTGGGTTTGATTTTGTGTGTTTATGCGGTTTTTAGCAGGTAGATCTAGACCGCTAAACTTGAGCAGGAACATAGGTCTAATGGCATTGGTTCTTGAAGTCAGGCAACTCCATCTTAGACTTCCACAGTCTGGAGGCTAAGGCTCAAAAGTACAATAGAATTCAAGGCTTGATGCAGAGGGGGTGTTCAGGTTAGAGGAGCTTTGCGGTTAACCTGAAGGGCCCGAATGATTTCCCGCTCTGTTCTGCTTTCCTATATTGTTTTTGGTATGAAGTTGTTTCTGCTACTGAAGTATTGTCATCTGTCATATGTTCCTACTAACATGCTATAACTTTTGGTTGAGATCTGACAGGCTCTCAGCTGTTAGTCCACACGCCACATCGCATGCATGCTTCGCGCAAACTCGTAACATCTCGCAACCGAACGCCGAACTTGATGTCAGGCATGTAGCTCCGCATACTGCAAACACATGTAGGTAAAGACCGTTACGTCTGCCGGGCATCTCCCAACTAGCCAATTTGAGTCACTGAGACTAACTGATATGATTACCATAAACCCTAAACCCCTAAACCCCTAAACCCCTAAACCCTAAACCCTAAACCCTAGACTAACTGATATTATTTCGAACCATCTTTGACCTCGCATGTCGCCCTTTCGAGTCCTGAATAAACCATCATGTCAAGCCCCTCACTTGATCCCCAGAAGTTCCCATCCCTCAATTATGGAATCCTTAAGGGAGGGGGTTCTAAGGGGGGTATATAACCCAGTAATCCCCAATTCCCCCTGGTACTCCCTTAAGTTCCCTTTTGCTCCATATGACCCTCCCCCCTTGAGCCACCTTGCCTTAAGGATCCCATCCCTCAACCCTACCTGGACCCTAGAGAACCTACCTCTTCAGGGCTGCTTATTACGATTTCGTTATATAAGTCCTTAAAACTGTAGGTTACTTCGGCCTAAACCCTAAATCCTAAACGATCCCCGGAAGTTCCCATGCACAAACTTCAACGCCCCGTGGGTGCTCCCGGCTTTCCGTCACTTCAACGTCTAGAGTGAGCCTAATATAGGGGCCTGAATAGTTAGACTAGGTTTTTTTCGGCCCACCATACTATGATTCCAGTCACTAACTCCCAAAACAACATTAGTAATTATTTTAAACCCCTACAGTAGGCTGAAGAGTGCTGAAGTCATCCACGGGTTTAGAGTTTAGGGCGTTTAGGGTTTAGGGCAGTGTGCGGAGTCTTCACAACTGCGAGACCGAAATAGCAAGATCCTTTGTACCAGAACTCCTACACCCCTCAGCCCTAAACCCGAAACCCTATAAGAGTAGCCTTACGGGAACCCTGCTGGTAACCCTTTCGTTACGATTCCCTTCCAAACTCTAGCCAAATACCCCTAAACCCTAAACCTCAAGCTTAAACCCTAAACCCCAAAACCTCCTCTCCATTTAGTGACGGCTTGAGCGCCGAAGGTCCTCAGAGCTCCGCGTCCGGCTTGTCAACCCCGCACCGTACACTCTCAACGGTTTAGGGGCTTAAGCGCCTTAAGACCGTTAAGGGCTTTAGGTTTTAGGAGCCTTAAAGCCCTAAAGCCCTTACATAAGGCGTTTAGGGGTTTAGGCGCCTTAAGACCGTTAAGGGCTTCAGGTTTAGGAGCCAAGAAAGCCCTTCTAAGCCGCTTCGAATGCCTCCTGCCTGCAGCCTATTTGCTTCTTTTCGAAGTGGCGGACCTGCACTCGTAGACCTGACCAGCACGCCGGGTAATAAAGGGCGGCCTAAATAAATGTCAATACTATGTTCCGGGTTCCTTTCTATATGTTTTCAGTATCATATACCCCAAAACCCTATTCTAATTATTAAGGCTCCTACACTAATGGCACAATAAGCTTTCAGCAAGGGTTGAGGGGGCCTAAACCCCAAACCCTGGCTGTAGAAGCTGCTCGATTTCGACGACAAGACTTGATGCGCTATCTTCAGCCCCAGTGGTGACCTCCGAAAGCCCTAGTGGCAGCCGGACATAGAGCTTCAACAAGAAGCGAAAGTCCTAGAACTTCAGCAATCGTACCGACACCCCCGCAACCCTGAGCCTAAACCCTAGGACCCTAAAACCCTAAACCCTAAACCCTAAACCCTGAACCCTAAACCCTAAACCCTAAACTCTTAGGGACTGCTTTGGGCCGTCCCATCTGGAGCTTCCTCATGTCGGATCATCTGCTGTCTTGGGCTGCTGGCCGTGGCATCGTGCTTAGCCCAGGCCAGCTGGTCTTATATCTCCAAAAGAATAAGATCCGATTGGGGATCCTCCTCTTTCCATTGGTCGAGGAGTTAAGCTGTGGGGGGTGGGAGGTCCCTGCTTTTGTTTGCTTACTTGGGAGTTTCAGAAAATTGGGGGCACCTTATTTTGGGGGTCCTTAAAATAGGGATCCGATTATTTGGGGTACTATATTAGGGTCCCCTATTTTCGGAAACCCCCATATCTTCCCTTTTTGGGGGTTTTCAGTTTCAGACGGCTTCATTTACGAACATGTGTCAGAGGCCTTAAACGGGCAGCCTAACAAGAGCTTGCTGCCTAATCTTTACTGGGGGGGGGAGCATGGAATGAGGATGATACTGAGGATTCTGACATACGTGATCAGCCTTTAGGACGACGAAGGCGATGCTGCTAGTGATCCTGAACCCTGAACCCCAAAAACCCTAAACCCTAAACCCAAAAACATAGGTTGAGGATGAGGACGAGGATGCAACTTCTCCCTGCGGCTCAGTGGTTCAAACTGTATCCACAGCACGTGTCTCATAATCGGTCTGCACACCAAATAGCTGTTGTGATTGTTACTCGATTGTTACTTTTGTTGCTGCATCATTGTTATTATCATTGAAAACTAATACTCTTACTATGATCATGATGAAAGGTGGTGTCATTATCGCTGTTCAATGGTAACAGTGGTTACCAAAAGTACTGTTGAGATTGTTGATCATGGACCTCTCCGCAAGCTTTCAAGAGTTACTTTGTGGGATTTCCACGTTCGACCCTCGAGGGAGTTGTTAAGGTTTGATGCCTCGAGCCTCGAGCCCATCCTTTCCGGGCTTCCAAGAAGTTCTCCTAGTGGTTTGCAGGCGCCCGTGGGTAAGGAGCACATGATGTGCAATTACGCAGGCTTAGGGTGTAGTATCCTACTACTTGAGGTCACATGGCAAGTGTATCCAGGCATAGTTCTGAGAAGTGTGGTGGGGTGTGGACGACCCCGCGCCGGAAACCCTAAAACCCTGAACCCTAGAGCCAAATCGGCCTAAAGCCCTGAAGCTCCAAACTTTTATCAGGGTTTAGGGTTCAGGGTTTAGGGTTCAGGGTTTAGGGTTTAGGGTTTTAGGGTTTAGGGTTCAGGGTTTAGGGTTTTGGGGTTCTCTCTAAGAACTACTGAAGCAGGTTTTGGATGCTTCAACAATCCCTGACAACTCTGAAAGAACAAACCCTAAGATATTTTTTTAGTGCCTTTTAACGGCCTAAACCCTAAACCCTAAAGCCTAAACCCTAAAACCTAAACCCTAAACCCTAAACCCTAAACCCTAAACTTTAACGTACCTTTTCTGCACCCTGGACTAAACCGAGTCCGAAGAGGACTTGACTTCTACACCCCGACGACCTCCGGCCGAGGCGTTCGAGCCTTGGGATGCTTTAGTCTTTCCTAAACCCTGAACCCTAACGAACCCTATCTTTTTGTAGGGCTGTTCCTTATATAAGTCCTTAAAAAGGTAGGTTATTAGTTATTAAGGGCCCCGGTAAGCCCTGGCCTGTTAAAACCTTGAGTAGGAGATGTCTGGCTTTCGGTTTGTGCTTGAGAGTTTAGGGCCTAGGGCTTGGAGGTTTAACTAGGGGATTAGAGTTTGGATAGAGTTGAGAGCTATCTTGTGTTATGACAACCCCCGCTCTTTAAAGGGCTTGATGTAAGAATCGCCGTTTAACCCTACACCCTAAGCCATAAACCCTAAACAGTAGATAGTTTCAAGGAGTGGGGGTTGGAGGCTCCTGGGTAAGATGCTCTTGGGGACTCGCTCTACGGAGATTCGATTATCTTTTTAGACATATAGGGTTTCCGGTTTTAGGGTTCAGGGGTTTAGGATTTAGGGGTTTAGGGTTTGGGAGCTGAGGGCTTTAGTAGAGGTCTAGGGTTTACGGGTGTAGGGGTTTAGGGTTGATGCTGTTGGGGGGGGGCTTTGGGTTCTGTGGCTGGCGCCTGGTGGCGTTGCTACGGTTTCTGGGGGTTTCATGTGTTTAGGATTCCTTAAACGGATCTATAAGAGTTTCTATAGGGCTCTTAAAGGGGTACTACAAGGTTTCAGTTTGGGTAGTTCTCGAGTCCTCTAAATTAGCATCCCTTTGGGGGTCCTCTGTATAGGGGTGCATAGTATGTTGTGGACCTAAAATAGGGACCCTACTTTACAGAACTACCCACGTGTTGCGGGGGGCTGGATGTCTGGGAATTGGTCTTTGTAGAGTTTAGGCTGGTTACAGCATCTCGGGTGTTTGCAGGGAATAGTGAGATGAATGGTTAGTGCTTGTAGGCTTCAGGTGTGGGATCGAGGAGGCCATTCTCGCAAGTTGTGCTTTCTGTTCCGGTCTTTCGGATTCTTGGCATTCCGGGCTTGGTTGCAAGTCGTTCTCGCCGTGACTTTGAAGTGCTGCTGCCATTGGGAGATCCAAGCGGCGACCCTCTCGCCTAAGCCCTCCACGTAATGAACAGTGACGACCGGACATCCGCAGTCGTAGTGGACCACCCTGGCAACTGCATGCCAGACCCTAAATCGCACCAGACCCCACCTTGACCCCAAATAACTTACATTTTTAAGGACCTATATAAAGAAGTCATAATGCGGAACCTTAAAAGGTAGGTTCTTGAGAGTCCAGGCAAACCTTAAACATCATACACTTAAAGCCGACAGAGAATTCACAATCTTCGCCCATCCACACTCTTAGCCACGATTGAATCTGCATTCCCACAGCAAAGGTGCCAAGACCGAGGTGGAGAAAGATGATCTCCTTTGCCTTGTGCCTTTGGAGGCTTGAATGGGGAAGCTGAATGGGTAATTATCAATACTATTTTGGGGTTTCCTGATTATATTCATAGTTTTGGTTTTAGGGTGTTGAGTTTAGGATTTGGGGCTTTAGGGTTTTAGGGTTTTAGGGTTTGGAGCTCGCGGAGGTATTGTCTTTGGTGGCCCTTACATGCTGCAACCTGTGGAGCCCCTGTATCCTAAAGCCCTGGAGCCTGAACCTTGAAGCCTACACCCTACTTGGAGATCCTGGGACTTCGTAAGTAAGGTTTTCAGTACCTTAATCAGGGTTTAGGGTTTAGGGTTAAGTATGTATAGCCGTTGTTACTTTATTTGTGACCGTTTATGACCCTAACCACGCCCTAAACCATAAACCCTAAACCCTAAACCCTAAACCCTAAACCCTAAACCCTAACCACGTCCCACGATCCTTCCAACGATGCTTCCAAGTAAGTCCAAGGACGGCAGGCCTGAAACCCTAAAACCCAACCCGACTGAATCCTGAACCTGGGTTTAGGGTCTAGGGCTTAGGGTTTAGGGGTTTAGGGTTTAGGGGTTATGGTTTAGGGGTTTAAGGGTTTAGGGTTTAGGGCTTTGGGTTTAGGGTTTATGGTTTAGGGGTTTAAGGGTTTAGGGGTTTAGGGGTTTAAGGGTTTAGGGTTTATGGTTTAGGGGTTTAGGGTTTAGTTACCAAGCCCGCCCCAAGAACCGAGCGCGTGCGCAGCCTCCACTAAACTAGCAAGGAATCTGGCAAGTTTTCTACCCCGAACCTCTAAACAGTACATGAGTAGATGGTTTAGAGATGGGCTGAGCAGTCAATAATTCGCCCTACAAACTCTAGGCTTTGCGTCCTCTTCATTGTTAGCACATGGATTTGCCAATAGTCTGGGAGATCTAGCAGGCACCCATAGCTCCACCAAATTTCGTCTTCTGACCGCAACAGGGAAGAAAAAAATGAGCCATTAAACAACAAATGGGTCGTTCTCTAAATTAGGTTCCCGTTGAGGGTTCTTTTTATACGGGTGCCGTACTACCTGGGTGGACCTAAGATTAAAAGGGGGGGACGCCACTTTAGAGAACGACCCACATCCTAATTCCATGCCATCCCGGGGAGGCCTGCCCAGGGCATGAGCTTTGGCTGGAGCCGAGCGGCGAGGTCCTCTGGTGTTCGGATATGTTTTTTTTTTGGGGGGGGGGACTTGGGGCTTCTATCATTGTCAGGTTTAGGGTTAAGGGTTAAGGGTTTAGGATTAGACGAGGGCTCCGATGTGGCTGGAAAAATCGAGCACCAACGCCTACCCTAAACCACCACCAGTACTTTCCAGTAGGTTATCGTATCATTATAGCCAAAGTCGTAGATGATAGGTCAGCATGGTACCCTAAACCCTAAACCCTAAACCCTAAACCCCAAACCGTATCATAGGAGTCCGACCGAAGAGCCACAGAGACGCGTGCCAATGCCCCTCAATCAAGGCATATACCCTCAATGGAAACCGCGGCCCCTTATACATGCTGAGCTCTGAGCCCCAGACAGTTTCAGGTATTTGTATACATAAACACGTATAGACGTATAGAAAGAGATTGATAGATAGACAAATAGATAGATAGGTAGGTAGATAGGTAGATAGGTAGATAGGTAGATAGGTAGGTAGATAGATAGGTACATGTATGTATATAGATAGATAGGTAGATAGATGCAGATCTATCTATATCTATCTATATATATATATATATTCCTGAATCAAGGCCCTCAATCCTACACCCTATGTTGGGCTCTCTAGGGGCAAAACAAGGCGAACTCCGCCGCCGACGCGGTGCGCTCGGCGTTCGGCCCGGGTGTTCTGGGCTGCTCGTTCCTCGGTCAGTTTCTGATTCTGGGCCTTTCTGGGAAGGGTTTAGGGTTTAGGGTTTAGGGGAGGGTTTAGGGCAGCAGGGTTTAAGGTCTAAGAGTTAGGGTTTAGTTGGGCTTTTGGGAATTCATAAATATTTGGGTGCTTTGCGAGCTTCCAGGGTTAAGAGTTAGTCAATTGTTTGGTCTTTCGGGCTTTGAGGTTGAGGATTGGGCTGTGTGCAGGTCTGTGTCCTTGTTGGATACAGTTTTACATGTTTGTTATAACTCAAACCCAATAAGGACTAAAACTGATCATTTTAGTATAGCCCCAAGAGGGAACCCGAGGTCGGTTTTCCGGCAGGCAAAGTCACAGTCCTTGTAACTCCTCATTCCTCCTCCAAGTGACTACCCGTTGAGCCCTTCCACAAGCAAACTCCTGGACAGTGTAAACCCTGCCTCATGGAAACCGTAGCCATATCACCCTCCTTAATCCCTTCAACCCCTGGATGTACAGAGCCCTACTGACTATTCGCCCTAGGCGCTATAAGTGTTCGGGGCAGGATCTGAACCCAAACCTAAACCCTAAACCCTACTCGTAGATCCTAAACCCTAAACCCTAAACCCGAATCCCTAAATCCTAAACCCTAAGCCCTGAATCCTAAACCCTAAACCCTAATCCCTAAACCCTAATCCCTAAATCCTAAACCCTAAACCCCCTGAACCCTAGCGGAGGCTGCTGCTGCTTCGGGAGCTTGGCCTGGGGAAGGACTCACTTCAGGCGACCTCGGCTCTTTTGGAGTGCCGGTTTAGGTTTTAGGGTTTAGGGTTTAAGGTTTAGGATTTAGGGATTAGGATTTAGGGACCAGGGTTTAGGGTTTAGGCAGTTTAGGGTGTAGGGTTTAGGGTTTGAAGACTTCTACTTGGAGGTTCATGGGTAGATATAAGGCGGGGCTATGGGGTTCCTTTAAGGGTTCCTTTATAGGGTTCTATAGGGTTTAGGGTTTAGGGGTAGTTATAAGTAGGGTTATAAGTGCCCTAATATGGGTTATAACTATAATTACCTTACTTATAACCCCACTTATAACTACCCATGCACCTCCAAGTAAGGCAGCTACTGTTGATAATGTAGGGGGCTTAAAACTTACCTATACCATTTAAGGTTTAGGGTTTAGGGTCTAGGAGCCTTAGTCATTACCTATATTATTTTTGGGGGGGGGTCCTTAATATAGTTAGAGTATAAGGGACCCCAAAACCCTATTCTAATGATTAATTAAGGCCCCTACATTACTGTTGATAGTCGCGGTGCTGTTGATAGTCGCGGTTGCAGAAGGTTTGGCAGTAGCAGTCGCACCTCATGAATCGCACTGACAACATTTCAACTTCCCCATTTGCTCAGTGGAGGAGCAAAGCGAGGGCGTCCTCGACCCATGCAGCCACAGAGCTTTTCCCGCAACCTTAAGCCCTGTAACTTGAAGCAGTTAAATCCTGGGCCTTGAAACCCTGAACACTACCTAAACCCTAAACCCCTAAACCCTAAACCCTAAACCGTACTAAGCCTGAAGAATGGGTGGCAGTAGGTACCATTCCTGGAGACGATACCGCCAGAAATGACGAATCTGCCCTACCTGGAGGAGGACCTCCGACACTCCTCGGCTTTAGGGTTTAGGGTGTTAGGGTTTAGGGTTTTAGGGTTTACTATAACCCGAAGGGTCCATGTACCCTACTAGTATCTACTTTGGCCTTCAAGTAGGCCCTATATAGGTACTTTGCGGCCAAACTATATACTTTTTGGGCACATGGACCCTCAGGGTAATGGAAGCCTGAAGAGTTACCAATACTATGCCGTAGGGATCCTCATCCTACTTCCAGTACCCACCCAAACCTTATACTAATTACGAGTTACTAAGGCTCCGAATATTAGAGGGTATTACAGGCGTAGGGGTTTGCAAATCTGAAATAGAACGCTTTTAGGCCGGAAGAATCCCAGACCACTTCAAGGGATTCAGGAAATGACATCCCAAGAAAGGTATCTTACCATCATGTGGGTTAAGAGTTAAGCTACGCCTATTATGTTTGTTAGATCCTTCCGTGGGTCTGGGATCTTGGTTCTGAATACCCGAAGACCCAACCAGACCGTCGTCATTACCTATAATAGTGAACCCCAAAAGCCACATGCTCGGCCCTACCGTCCCTTTAGGGTTTAGGGCTTGAGGGCATTTAAGACGATGTAAAGTGGCAATTGGCTGAACGTGGTGACCTTCTGGAATACGTTTGGGCCGGGGCGTCTTCATGGTTTTGCAATTCGTTCGGGTGTCCTCTATATCGCGCATCGGCGCCGGATTCTGTTTCTCCACTTTGCGATGGTCGCTGAGTAGAGGATAACAAGAGGCCGGAGACGTCTCATCTTGGTAGGTCTGAGGCTGCTTGGTTTTTGGCGGGGACTGTAGGACGAAGGAAAGTCTTGAAAGTAAAGGGTTCCTTGCGGCTTGGTAAATATCTTGAAGTGATCGGGGTTTAGAGGGTTTCGACGCCTTAAAGAGCCCTAGACCCTCCTAACGCCCGCTAAAACCCTCACTTCTCCACAGTACTACTACTCCCTCATAAGAGCTTATCTTCCCTCTAGTGCTGGGACGCACCACCCCTTTAAAAAGAGCCTGTCTCCCTCTGCAGCGACCGGACGCACCACAACCACACCGGAGGGAATCAAGGAGGTCCCGGAACCACTGCTGAGGATGCTGAGGCGGCGAAAGGGAGGGGGGGGTGGGGGCAGTGCCACACAGCAGAGCCGGTGCATCGAGACTTCGTGGAGAGTTCTGGTGTTTCGGAAGTCTCCGTACTATTGAGGCCTTCTGTGCCACCCCAAGACCCCAAGCTCAACGTGCGCACGCTCCGTGATGTAAGTTCAGGGTAGACACCGCGCCCGAAGCTTTGTATCCTGACCACTCACAACTAGCAGGAAGAGTGCGAGCCAGTGTTCGTATGTACCAACGAATAACATCCTCAACCAAGACCCCAAACCCTACCTCCCGAAGCAAAACTAGCCAAACACAAAGTCCCACACCTACACCCTTTCTGAGCGCCAACGATTGTCGACCCCGGATAGAAACGCCTTGGCATCCTAAGCATCCGAGCAGCAGAACCCTCAACCCTACACCTCAAACCCTAAACCCCTAAACCCCTAACCCTAAACCCCCAAAAGCCCTAAACCCCAAAAGCAGGATGAACTCCGATGGCTCGAGGGTACTACCCTGGCTGCCTTGGGTCACCTGGACCAGCACAGGGAGGAAGGCCTCGGGGGGGGTGGAAGATTTTTGATTTAGACTTTAGGGTTTAGGGTTAAGGGTTTAGGGTGCAGGGTTTAGGGTTTAGGGTTTAGAGTTTAGGGTGCAGGGTTCGGAGTTTGGGGTTTAGCTTTGGGGTTTTGGGTGCTGGGTGCCTTGGGTTTCTATGGGCGCTGGCCAGAGGTTCAGCTTAGCACATGTGAAGAGTGTAGGGGGGTGAGGAGGTTTTGGGGTTTAGTGCCTGTTCATGCACTCTCCCTCAACCCAAAACCCTAATTAAACCCAAAACCCTCAACCCTCAACCCTAAACCCTCAACCCTCACCCCAAACCCTTTACCCTAAACCCTGAACCCTCAACCCTAAACCCTCAACCCTAAACCCTGAACCCGGCTCTTTAGGTCTCAGGAGCTTTGGGCCTAGCGTTTCGGTCCCGGGAGCTTCTGGTTCCTAGGCGGTCGATGGGAGTTCGGGTTTAGAGTTTGGGGTGGTTAAGGGTTTGGGGTCGTTTAGGGTTTAGGGTTTAGGGTTTAGGGTTTGGGGTTTAGGGTTTAGGGGTTTCGGGTTAAGGGTTTGGGGTGGTTAAGGGTTTGGCGGTTTAGGGGTTTAGGGTTCAGGGGATTTTTGGGTTTCGGGTTTATGGGGTTTAGGGATTTTGGGTTTAGGGTTTAGTGTTTGGGAAATAGAGCTGGGGCGCTTTGTCTTCGTCCGGTGCAGGGACTGTTGAAGTTCGATAGTTCAGGAGGTCCGACGACCTTGAAATTTCGGTCTAAATGCGGCATTTTCAGGTTGGTAGTTACCGTTATCGGAACCTTATAGAAGGTCTATATACCTTATGGAAGCCTTATGGAAGCCTTATAGAAGCCTTATATATCCTAAACTCCCGACCTGTAGGTTCCTCTAACTAAATGCGGCATAAGCAATTTAGTCTTTCCCATTCCTTAAATCCTGAACCCCAACACCCGAACCCTTCCATCTAAGCTCGGCATCCTTGAAACCCCCCCAAGGATCCTGCAACATGGTTCTTCCTAAAGATGTTTAGGGCCTGTTAAGGTTTATAGTAAACTCCAAAAAGTTAGAAACCCGATTAAGGACAATTACTCCTAAGGATAGAGGCTATTGGGTTTCCAACTTTTGGGCTTCTACTATATTAGGTCCACATCATGGTGCCCCTGGCCCTGCATGGTGATGGAGTGCCGGAATAGGCCCTAAGCTCTAAACCCCTACACCCTAAACCCTAAACCACTCCCCCGTGGATTTCATCGAATTAAAGTGTTTGTGCCTCCACTACCTTCGCTGCGACTCCTGTTTCGCTGCTGGCACCCCGAGACCACAATGGCAGTCACCAAGGCTTTAGGGGTCAGGGTTTACTTGGAGGTTCAGGGGTAGTTATAAGTGGAGTTATAAGTAGGGTAACTATAGTTATAACCCATATTAGGGGACTTATAACCCCATTTTGTAACTACCCATGAACCTCCAAGTAGGGGAAGCTTACAGGCCAAAGATGCCTTCCAGCAGCTGCGAGGTGAGAAGGACTGGAACTGAAACGGTTCGGCTGCCCTGCCTGGAGCGAAACGGCAAGTGCTGGCTCTACGAAGTCAAGCCAGAAGAATGGCTACACCCACTACAAAAAGGGCTTGCTGTTGGGACATGGCTTATGTTGCAGCGGGGTTAGCGAATATCGTTTGATTGAGGCGTCCGACGTCTAGGCAGGTGGATCTTGGTGCAGAGGACCTCGTGCTTCAGCCAGTCGGGTTTATAAGTGCTTTGAGGAGGAGCAGTTCCTTGAGGTGGTCTGCTTCAGGAGCTGCTCCACCTGCTTACTAAGCTGTGATGGGAGATGTATCGGAGTTCAAGAACAACATACATTCGGCATTGCAAGAGCGAAACTGGCTGCCCATGTCGCTTCCGTTAGGCTGGCTCTAGAATCTCGCCCGTACACACACACACACACGCAGAACGTGAGTACCTGCATTATGTAGTGTGTACATAGGAGCAAGCAGCAGCCATGCTCTTGTTTGTGAGGCGGTCGCATGCTGACTCCACAGCACTGGAGAGGGGCCCCAGAGGCCAGCGACGAAGTCAGACAACACTCATCCCTAAACTGTTTGACCCCACACTTACATGACACCAAAGTTCATGTGGTTGTTGACATGGTGAGGAAATATTGGTATAGCGATACTCCACATGCCCGGCAGGATATCGATGTCATCCTAAGTCTGGCAGAACAATGGCGCTTGGGGCTGCATATTTGGTCAAGTCCTATATGTTCCTCTTCCCTCACCGTCGACCGGAGCAGACCCAAACGGAACACAGTTTAGGATTCTGAAAACTGGCATGCTGGATCTGAAACTCTACACTCACAACCCGTAAACCAAATGCGAGCACCGTAAATACTGTGCTCGGGCCGAATTATCAACCGAGTCCTAAACCCTGAGCCCCCCCAACCCCCAATACCGCGGAACCCGAACACGGGCATCTCAACAAGTAGTATTATCATTTCCCTTTAGTCCGTATGCAGTCCTTGTAGATTTGTCCAGCTGCACCTTAAAACCCCAAGCCCTACATGAACCCCGGAACCGTCATAGACCCCTGGTAAACCCCTCCTAAACCCCGTACCGAAGCCTTATAGAATCCTTATCGAAGCCTTATGCACTCTTATGGAATCTTCGTCGACCTCTTAGAGAGCCCTTCTAGATGGGGGTTTCCGAAAATAGGGAACCCTAATATAGTACCCTAAATAGTAGGATCCTTATTATAAGGACCCCAAAATAAGGTACCCCCAATTTTCGGAAACTCCCAGATACCTTAAAGTAAGAACCCTTCTAGACCCCTTATAGAAGCCTTAGAAGACTCCTGATCTGTTTCTTACACACTTCTAGAACCATCTATCTCCCTTATGGAGCCTTAAAACCAGGGTTTAGGGTGTAGGGTTTAAGGTTTAGGGTTTAGTTAGGGTTTAGGGTTCAGCCTGCCAGGCCAGAATGCATTTCGATCACACTCTGCTGCCTTTCCTAGAGCTGCACCACTGCTGGTGGCCGGATCGGTCCGCACCCCAAGATCCCATCAAAGGGCTTCCAGGGCTCAGAGTAGATTATGTAAAAGTCTGAGCAGGGTTGTTAAAGGCTTTCTCAAATTTTATGCAGATGTTGTAGGGTTTGATGACGGTTTAATGTAGGGATCCAGATGATGATTAGACCATCCCCCTGAGATCCTTGATGTAAGAACGTAATATAGGTGCCTTGATAATTAGAACAGGGTTTTGGGCTAGATTATACTATAGTTATAATAAGGAACCCCCCGAAATAGTATTGGTAATTATTCAGGCCCCCCATATTAACCATATACAAGACGACAGAACCTGAGGAAAGCTTAGACTTTTAGTTGTGTTTAGGGCATGGGATTTGTCGTGATTTTTGGCATATGTAGATGTGGGGTTTAGGTTTTAGGGTTTAGGGTTTAGGGGTGTCAGTGTTAAAGTTTGGCTGGGTTTGTCGGGGCTTTTCGCAAAAAGACATGCGCATTCGCTGAGCCATGATTTCGGTTCGGTTTTTAGGACCAGGAGTCGGGTGTAGGGTTTAGGGTTCAGGATTTACAGTTTAGGCTTTGGGGTTTAAAGTTTAGGGTTTAGGGTTTCAGGGTTGAGGCTTTGTTGACATGGCCCATGTCTGTCCCTCGACGGTCTAAGCAACGCAGAGTCTGCAGTCGCTGGGGGTTTTCTTGGGGCCTGGAGCTTGAAGGAGGATAAGCCCTAGATCGCCGAGCTTGTGAGCACCAACCAAACTGGGGGTTTCCGGAAATAGGGGACCCTCGTTTAGTACCCCATAGTAGGATCCTTATTATAAGGACCCCCAAAAATAAGGAACCCCGTATTTTCGGAAACTCCCAACTGTTACAGGCCTCAAGGATACGTATTTCCACCCCTTTCGGGTTTTCTGAGTATAGATATTGGTATAAGGACCCCTTGTCTACTTGTCAAGGCCCTTGGAATGCTGGCCTCACATCACTATCACTTTGAGGTTCTCAGTCGTGTTTCGGTTTTTTTCGCGCAGTCTATATACCCTGAACCCTCGTGTTCGTCAGTCCTGCCTTGAACTCCGAGCTTTCATGTCAACAAGACTGAGGGACATGAAAAGAACTACTTAAACAGAAGTCTTTGAAACCTATGTCCTTAGGCCCACCAACCCTTAGCCCCTGAACCCCAAACCCTTGAAGGGGCGTTACTTTCACAGCTTATGCTTCGGTTGCTTTTCTGAGGGGCTCCTCTAGCAGAAGCCAGAAAACTGGAACACTACTATCGTCATGCCACTAAGGCATGGCATGGTTTAGGGTTGAGGGTTTAGCACTAATCTTCATCCCTACCTTGACCCCAAAGAACCTACCTGTTTAAGGACTTATATAAGGAAATCATGATCAGGAACCCTAAAAAGGTAGGTTCTTTAGGGTCCACGTAAAACCTAAACCCTAAACCCATGTTCCAACTTTCTGGGGGCTCCTTGAGCAGGTCCTTCGAATCTTTCCAACGAGCCTTGGGCGCCGTGCTCTCGCGTGGCTTCTTCTGTAACGGCCGTGGCATCCTGCCAGCAGCCATGAGAGTGCGTTGAGGTTTAGTGTTTATTGCTTTTGTCTTTTGCGGTATAGGGCCGGGTTGATAGGGCTAAGCCCTAAACCCTAAATCCTAAACCCTAAGCCCTAAACCCTAAACCCTAAATCCTAAACCCAAAGCTCTAAACCCTAAACTCTAAGCCCTAAACCCTGCTTGAGGTGAGCATTGTCAGCTGTAGGGTTGGAGCCTTGGCTTAGCATGTCTGGCCAGCGAATCCTAGCTCTCCCGCGTCTCGAGATTCTCGAAACCCTAGAGGGTTCAGGTTCAGGGGTTTAGGATTTAGCGGTGTAGGGTTTAGGGGTTTAAGGTTTGGGGCTTTAGGGCTTTGGGGTCTAGGGCGCATCTGCCGCCAACGTTCGGAATGTTCTTCCACTCGACCCCACAGGTAGATGAAGTTTGCCGCGCCACACAAGCCCTGTTCTATGGTGACTATACTCATACCTACTTATAGACTGTTGGTTTCTTGGATCCTTATTACCCTAAACCCTAACCTTTACACTGTCAGTATACACTCCCAGCCACCAAATCGACATGCCCAAAAATGCCGCGGAAAAACGGTACTGTCGAGCCGGATGTTCTTTCAGCCCGGGTTGGGGAAGACAGAAAAAAGCACTGAAAGACCATTACACGTTTGATAATCAATCAACTCCCCGACACCCCTTACTGTTCGGAGCTTCCGTCTTGGCTGCAGAAGCAGCATTGTCAAGGATTGCGACATTTGGTGCAGGTCCGGAGACATTCTCATCATCTTAGCGTAAACCCTAAACCCTAGGCCCTAAACCCTAAACCCCTAGACCCCTTAACCCTAAACCCTAAACCCAGAGTTCTGTAACTAGGCCCGCACGGCAATGCTTGCACTACACTCCCGAAGCCCTCCCCACAGAGCCCAATACCCCTTCATGAAGGAATATACCGTTACCTTAACTCATAGGGGGCTTTAAAATTATGATTTAAGGCATATTCCTTAGTTAAGGGGTCTTGGCCCAGGACCCTTCATGGTTCCCTTCGCTGATGCTTTCAACCACGCCACGCCGGGCACAAACCACTGCCACCTCGAGGCGTGTGACTTGGGCTTGGCCGGTCTGGGTTTAATCCATCCCTTTTTTCTCTTTCCGTCTCTCTCTCTCTCTCTCTCTCCCTCCCTCTCTATCTGTCCCTGTAGACATAAACAAACTGTACGTTATCCGTATACACCTATTATAGTGCTTCCCAAGAGTCGTGTGTATATGTGTACATATGTGTGTGTGATATGTATGTATGTGTGTATATATATAGATAGATAGATAGATAGATAGATAGATAGATAGATGTGTGTATATTTATATAGGTATATGTATATATATATATATATATATGTGGGTGTCCATCGTAAATATTTCTCTCTATCTCTCTCTATGTATCTCTTTATCTCCCTCTCCCCCTCTGTATATATATATATATACATATACACATGTGTGTGTGTGTCTGTATGTATGCATGTATGTATGTATGCATGTGTTTATGTATGTTTTTGTATGTATGTGAAAGTATGTATATGTATTTGTATATTTGTATAAACATATACATACACATGATGAACGAGCACACATACTGATATGTCTGCGGCGCCAAGCTAGATAGGTAGATAGATGCACAGGCGTGTGCCCGTACATACGCAAATATAAGCATACTCATATGTACATATACATATGTACAGTGTGCATACAGACATATATGCATTTATACACACATATATATATATATATGCACACATAAAAACATACATAGATGCATGCATACATACATACATACCTACATACATACATACACATACATACATACAGCTACCTACATACATACTACATACACACACATCCGTACATACCTACAGGCCTACATACATACACACATCCGTACATACAAACATTCATACATACATGCATACATACATACATACATACCCACACACACATATACATACGTACATACATACATACATACATACATACATATATGCAGACATACAGGTACATACGTACAGGTGCATACACACAGACCTACATACATACATACATCCGTACATACATACATACATACATACATACGTACGTACGTACGTACGTACGTACGTACGTACGTACATGCACACACATACATACATACTTACAGACACACACAGATATTTACATACAGACCTACATACATACATACATACATACATACATACATACATACATACATACGTGCATACCTACATGCTGTGTGCCCATACACTACTTGCGCGCATAGACAGAGACACAGGAGAGAGAGAGAGAGAGAGAGAGAGGGAGATGCTTAGCGCATGCAGCGTTTGGAAAGTTTCGAGCCTGGGTTTCGTGGCATTGCAGTGTCGCAGTTGCAGCCGACAAACTCGCAAGTGTGCGGCAAGCAGTTCTTTCAGGACGCCACGTCATGCACAGTTTTTCTTCTTATTTGTTATCCTGGAACTGTTTGTTGAAGCCATAGTCAACCCAGGCTCGGCTGCACTTCAGACCTTGAAACCCTGACAGTTCTCTCTCGGCCAAACTCCGAACCCTGTGTCACCGAAGTCTGAAGCCTACCGCTCCTCAACAGAAGCACCATAGAGTGCCCTACATCGAACGCTTTTCACAAAATACTCGTGTCGACGACCGTCTTGTCGAGGGCTGTGCGGAAGATGGCCTGGCCTTCGTGATGCGTGGAGTCAAGGCAGCCTTGGGACGCTGCTAGGGGCCAGCATGGGATGTTTGGCTTGACGTCATTTTCCACTCCCAAGAAGGATGATTCTTCACGACGACGGCACATAGAGCTCAACAAAGACAGAAGAAGCGACAACAGAAACAGAAGCCGAAACCCAAACAGTACAGCAGCAAAAAGCAACAGCAGCAGCAACAGCCACAGCGACAACAACGACGAGGGCGCAGACGACGACAGACAAGAACTAGTAATTAGCTAAGAACCAAAAGAGCCAGACCAAGAGCAAGACCTGGACGATAAATCAACGTAAGTTGCATCCGGACTAGGACGATCATGAAGATGATGGCGACGATGATGAATATGATGATGGTACTTGTGATAGTTCTGGTGATGATGATCATGATGGTGTTGATGATGATGATGGTGCTGATGATAAGAATGATTATGAACAAGATGATGGTGATTGTGATGGCGATGGTGATGGTGATGATGATGATGATGATCGCAGCAGGCCGGCTACGGTACGCAGAGTCTGTGTCGGCGCAACTGCGAGATTCGACAGCAGAACCTTCAATCATCTTTGGGTTTGGTCCGGGCTTAACCATAGCTAAGCCCTGAAACCTGGAACACTGAAGCCTCGAAGCCTTCAACCACAGGCAATTCAACCCAGAGACTCCAAAACCCCTTAATTAAGGAATAATCCGAATAATCCTCAAATCATATTGGGATTCCTATTATAGTTTAAGGTACTGGTATCTTCCTTAATTAAGGGGTTTTGGAGTCTCTGGGAAGCTCCAGGGTTCACGAGCCCTCAGTGCGAAGAGCTTTCCAGGGAGCTGCCAGTGGGCAGGAGGTCTTCAACACGTGCGCTGCTAAGCTTTTCCTCTAAGGCCTGCAGGGCCTAAACCCCAGACCCCATGCCCTGTGCAGTTTCTGTGGGTTTTGAAGATTTTTTGGGTTTTGGGGGGCTTGGGGTTTTGACGTTTATGGAGCTTTAGTCAAGTTTGCAGGATTTGGGCCCTTCGTTCGACGGTGTTGCCAGCTCCAGGGCGCAGCGTGGGGGGGCCGCGTCAAAGACAGTTCCAATAGGGGTTTAGGAGTTTAGGGTTTAGGGTTGAGGGTTTACGGTTTAGGAGGATGAGGGGAAGGAAAAGGAGAAAGATGATGAGGATGACCATGACGATGACCATGACACAGACGATGACAATGATGGCTTCTGTGCTTCACTGGTTGAACCCTAAACCCTAAACCCAAAACCCTAAACCCTAAACCCTAAACCCTGGTTGAAGCCCTCAACCATAAAGCTCCCCAGGTACGGGCCCTTGTCCTCTGGTAGGCTCTTTGCATCCTTCGGCTTTGTGGGTCGCGGCCCAAGCCAAGGGCATTTTTGCTAATGTAGGGGCTTAAACAAGCTATCTGAGAGGTTCCTGATTGTAATTACAGCATAAGGGGCCCCAAAAATCGATTCGAATTATTACGGCACCTACACGACCTGACTACTAAATAACAAGGGTTGATTTTAGGGGTTTGGGTTGCAGGGCCCCTTCCTTATATTGGCTCCTAAACGAAAAGATATGTCATATATATATATATATATATATCGGGGTTCAGGGTTTAGGTGCTGTTCAACAGATATATCTATACTCACACTCAGTCGAGAGTTGCTGTGGGATTTCCTTATAAGAACTACAAAACAGATATTTCTGTGTAGGCTTGAGGGCTTGTGGAATTTTCCGTACAGTGTCTACCAAAGGGATATGTCTACAGATATTGCTCATGTTCGATATGGCTATTGCGCCTATCGTTGCCATTACTGTCACAGTCACCCTTAAACTCTAAACCCAGAAGTTCAATGAGTTTCAACTACTTTTCCGATCGCTCCTCTTGCAGTCTAAACTCCATGGGTTCGGGGCCGGGGAGCGGTCCTGGGCCCTAAACTCCTAAACCCTAAACCCTAAGCCGCAAGATTATCCCTATAAACCTCCTCAACCCTAAACCCTAAGCCGCAAGATTATCCCTAAGCCCTAAACTCCTCAACCCTAAACCCTAAGCCTCAAGATTAGCCCTAAACCCTAAACCCTGAACCCTTAAATCCTCAACCCGAAACCCGAAGCCTCAAGATTAGCGATTCTTGGCTGTTGGGCAGAGCATCCTTCAGCCCATCCTGCACTGCCTTTCGGGGGTTTAGGGTTTAGGGTTTCATGCGCCACAGTGTTCTGAGGGACCTTCCTTTCTGGTTTAGGGTCTAGGGCTCCTGGGCCCTTATAGACGTAGGTTCCTACTTAGACTCAGAATTGATACTTAGCAACCATCTTGTCCTGTATAGTTAATAGTCCTTTCGGAGTTATACTTATGACTGGGAATACCCTAAACCCTAAACCCTAAACCCTAAACCCTGCTCGACTTGTTAAGGCCCTTATTTCCTCAACGTAGAGACGAGTTGCTCAGCTCGTTTTCTGAAATTCGGCTACGTGCCCGACATCCAGGGACTAGAATCGCTAAAGGCCACAATAGGATGTGTGGGATACGGGGTTTAACATGTGTAGGCTGTAAGGTTGCAGGTTTCAGGGCTCAGAGGCATCGGCTGCTTAGGCTTAGGAAGCCCCTGGAAATGAATCTTTCATGCATGGGTTTCATCATTTTCTCCCGGTGTCCTTCCGGAAAAGTTGTTCAAGATTTCGGGCTTGAACTATCTCCGTCATCCGTCAGCGAGCTGCAACCATCGTTTTTATTATTGCTGGTCTTTTCGACCTTGCTTTTGCTAGCGTCAAGATGCAGCCTCAGATTCGGGCAGTTTGTGTGTGTCGCCTCGTCTCAGTGGAGTAAGGCGAGGTAGATTCCAACGGCCTTTAAGAAGCTCCCCTAAACCCCGCAACCCTAAACCCTAAAGACCTATAAGACCAAGGTGCAGAAAACCCGCACGACTACAACGTGATCAAGTTGGCAGAGCTGCTTCTGCATCAACCTCATAGCTTCGGAGACCCTCAACAAAGACTCGCCCAGGTGCTTGGAGCAAGCTGGTAAGGCCTTACTTGGAGTTTCATGGGTAATTATAAACGGGGTTTGAAGTAGGGATTTACCCCTAAACCCTAAGCCCTAAACTTGCCCTAAACCGTGCTGTGTAGAGGACTTCGGTAGTCAGATGGGGCTTTCTGGTAGTGGCTGACGCTTTGAAGCTCTACTCCCGGACCGTGTAAGGCCAGAATCCTATGCTACTTCCTGAAACATAAACCTTGAAACCCACTACCATCCCCACTTTTGAAGGACACTCGGGCTGCTCGGGCGCTGCTGGCGTCTGTGCGGCGCGGCCGGGCGGCGCGCGCCGGCGTTCGTCAGAACGTGCGACGACACACAGGCGTCAGAGTTTGTGATGATGGTAAAGTCAGGAGCCCAAAGGAGCACACAACTTTTGGGACTCTGAGGTTGCTGGATTTCTGGTTTGATGGTCCCGACGAGTCTGTCAGGGGGTTCGCGCGCACCTTGTGCCCCGAAAGGTTTATAGATGGCTTAACTGTTGGACTGCGAATAACACACCCTAAACCCTAAACCCTAAACCACAGATTTCCACAAGAAGTTTCGGTCCCGACACACCCCGAACCCGATCCTCGAATCCCGAATCACAAAGCCTCAAAGCTTGAGGTAAGGAACTATCCTCATCAGCCCTTCATATATAGTCCCGCCCTGGTCCCGCCACACTGAGTGATACAACAATACCTTAAACCCTGAACCCTGAACCCTAAACCCTAAGCCCTAAACCCTAAACCCTATAAACTCTAAACCCTAAACCCATGCCAGGCGCAAGGGCCATCCCCTCGGTGTACCGCCTGGCATGCGCCGCCCTGCGGCACGCGGCGAGGCGCTTGGAAGAGAAGGCCTTACCAGGAGGGATCCGGAACCCTATTACTTGGAGGTTCATGGGTAGTTATAGATGGGGTGGTAAGCCCCTTAATATGGTTTATAATTACAGTTACCCTACTTATAACCCCACTTATAACTACCCATGAACCTCCAAGTAGGGTTTAGGGTTTAGGGTTTAGGCTTTAGGGAATGGAACCTAAGAAACCTACCTTTTTCAGGGTTCCTTATTCTGATTTCTGCATATGAGTCCTTAAAAGGTGGGCTATTGTTATTTAGGGTTCAGGTAGACCCTAAACCCTAAATCCTAAGCGTGTGTCTGCGCAGAGCTCGTCATCTATATATCATATAGCATTGTCTCCATTGTAATTGTAGTTCCTTTTTTTAGCTGCGCCAACTTTACGTGTAGGATCCTATAAAGTAACCCAAAAACGGGACTGCCATGGAGACTCCAGGCATTATATTGATTAGTAGGGTGCTGTATTATATGACAATTACCTGGAGTTCGGTGAGGACGGCAAGGACTTGGCAGTCCGATAGTGTCCCGCGTATCGGGCTGTGACTTCCAGTCGTCATCGTCACCATCATGCTCATGATACTCGATAGTTTGCACAGGTCCTTTTTTGGGATTACGTCGTAGGATCCTAAACATAAAACTTGCTAAACCAAACTGGAAGTACCGGTTTGAAGGAAAACTATAGGTATCATATTATCACACTTGCATGGCCACAACTCCCACCGCCAGGATAAACATGACATGTGCATCACTGTTCCGCCGGTTTTGGCACCTTTGCGCAAACGCCCTGAAGCCTCCTCATCTTTGGCTTCTGTGCTGCGCACCACAGGATCGGGAGCATAGCAAACCGGGTCCACTCGCATTACGGCACGTGTAACCCGACTACCCAAGGACCTTCAAGTACTTGGAGGCTCATGGCTAGTTATAAATGGGGTTATAAGTCCCCTGATCTGGGTTATAAATACAGTTACCCTACTTCTAACCCCACTTAATAACTACCCATGAACCTCCAAGTATGGTCCCAAACTGAGTGAAGCAGAAGAGGTCTCCTCGTGCTTGTCAGCGACGGCCTCCGCCGAGTTGCGACTAAGACAAGTCGCGGCCCAGCTCAGGAAGCGTAGGTACCGGTTTCATAAACGGAGGGGCTGCACTGAATCTAAGCTTTTGTGGTTATGGTTTGGAAGGGGTCGTGTCCAAACTCGGTTGCCCCAACATGCCTGAACAGTTAGAACGGCCTTCGGGGCTTTTCATAGTATAGATACATAGGTGCTGTAAGGCGATATGACTATCATTTTTTCTTGCCACGCCCTTGAGCCTTGTAGCCGCTGACCAAGCATTCTTAACTTATGACCTCTCTTCACAGGCACGACTAGCTTGCAGTCTGAACGGGTCCTTAGCCCTAAACCCTGACCTCCCAAAACCTATAAACCCTATAGGCCCTCAGCCTTAAACCCTAAACCCTATAGACCCTAAACCCTAAACTAAACCCTTTCGACCCTAAGCCCTACACCCTATAGACCCTAAACCCTAGACCGGCCGGAATGCCTTCGTTTTCGAACCCAAGGGTTTGAGCCTCTGAACCCAAGACCCTTAAACCGGTTTAGGGTTTAGGCTTTGGGGGTTTAGGGTTTAGGGTCTATAGGGGTTTTAGGGTTAAGGGTCGATGGGGGTATTAGGGTTTATAGGGTTTAGGGTCTACAGGGTCTATAGGGTCTGTAGAGCTTAGAGGGTTTATAGGGTTTAGGAGAAGACATTGGCCAAACTCTCTTTGTGTTTTAGAGTTTGGGGCTCAAGGCTTTTAGGGTTTTTGCGTTTGAGGGTTTAGAAGGGGTACAAGGGTTTTAGGATTTTTGCGTTTTAGGGTTTTGAGCTTAGGGGTTTAGTGTGTACGGCTTTATACGAGCTTTAGGGTTAATCCTACACCCCAAAACCTCAAAACCCCAAACCCAAAACCCTAAACCCTAAACCCTACCGGAAGCCTTAGGGCTTCATTCATTAAGGGTGCAAGGGTAAAGAGCCGACTGTAGGCGCTGCAGCGCTAGGGCTCGAGGGATCTGCGTTGAGGGTGCATGTTCAGGGTTTTAGGGTTTAGGGGTTTGGGTGTTTAGGGTTTGGCGTGTAGGGTTTATGTACCCAAATTCATTGATACTTTGGCCTCAAAGTGGTCCTTGTACGGTAAGAGGTACGCACTTTGGGGCCACAGTATCTACTATTTGGGTACATGGACTCTGACCCTAGACCCTATACCCTAAACCCTAGACCCTAAACCCCAAACCCTAAACCCTAAACCCCTCTTGAGGGGTTCTAGGATCCTTTAGTTAAGCGGGGTTTAGGGTTTAGGGGGCCTAGAGAGATCCCTAGGGAAACCTTGCGGGAACCTTAGGGAGAACGAGGGGGAGCATACTGTAGGGGCCTTCATAATTAGAAGAGGGGCTTTGGGGTATACCCTACGATGGTTATAATAAGGGCCCCCCAAAAAAATGCAGAGAGTATAGGCAATTTTTAAGGCCCCCAGATTAAAAAAAAAAAAAGGCGATCTCCAGAGTTTCGGGTGTCTGGGGTTTAGGGTTGAGGGAGGTTCGGTCCGGCTTCGGAAACCGAAGTTCGGAACAAAACCAGCGCGGGCTTAGGGCTTGAACCTAAACCCTAAACCCTAAGTGCAGCTCCCCTCAAAGAGGATTCTGAAGCTCAGACGTGAGCAGACGGAAAAGGGGCCTTTCAAAACAAAAAACCCTAAGTGCGCAAGTTTCCGGGTTTTAAGTTCAGTGATGTTCAGTGATAGCTAGGCCTTAAGGTTAGGGCTCAGGATTTAGGGTGTAGCCAGGCATGGCAGAAGGAATTTGCAAAGTGTCCTCGACCTGCTCTCATGTCATTTGTATCCCCAAAATATGGCAGGATCTTGTTTAGGGCGCCAAAGAGCCAGTCCTTGAATGATATAGTTTCTTCCTCAAGTATCACTGGCTCTGCAGTCATACGTTTAGGTATGTAGATTCTCCACTCCGAATCCCACACCTGAGCAGTAAACGCTCCTACCAAGGCAGCCTACCGGCGCTCAGAGGCAAAGTACCTCCGGTGCGTCGACCATGCACTGACCAAGCGCCGTTTGCGTTGTTGGGCCTCGAAAGATGTGGCGAGTTACCGCTTCAGAGTTTCATGTGGGTAGCTCTCTAAATTACTCCTAAATTAGGGGTCCCTTCTTAGGGTTCCTTAAAGGGATCTATTAGGGGTTTCTATACGGTTTCTATGACGGTGTTGTAAGGGTTCAGTTTGGGTAGTTCTCTAAATTAGGGCTCCTTTTAGGTTCCTTGTTTAAGGGCGCCGTACTATTGTGGGGACTTCTTAAGGGACCCTAATTTCGAGAACTTCCCCATGGCTGCGAGTTTAGGGCTCTTCTGGCGTAGGGCCGAACGGATTAGAGTGTTGGGTTGGGATTTGGAATCTGGGATGTTTGTGGGGTGAAGCTTCACCGCCTCGGGTGGGCTGGTTTTAAACTTTGCCCCAGAGGCGATTTTGCGGCGCAGGGCAAACAAATTCTGCCGGTTAGGGCAAGCTCGGAAAGTTTGAGGAAATCTGACCCCCCCAATGCTTGGCACCAGGATCCCTAAACCCTAAACCTGAAAACCTAAACCCTAAACTAAACCCTAAACCTGAGGCCCTAAACTAAACCCTAGGCTTAAACCCTCCAAGAAGAGCCAAGGAAGGCCTTGACCCCGAGCAGGAGAAACGACGCTTGGCAGTCGAAGTGGATTTAGGAGTTTAGGTTTAGGGTTTAGGAGTTTGGGGTTTAGGGTTTAGGAGTTTAGGGTTTAGGGTTTAGGGTTCAGGGGCCTGAATAATTACCAATACTACTTTGGGGTTTCCTTGTGACAGCTGTAGTATAATATACCCCCCAAAACCCTATTCTAATTGGTGAGGCTTCTACATTAGGGTTTGCGGCTTGGGGCTCAGACTTTGGAAATATCCTGTAATTGAGGAACATACCTTAAATCATATTTAAATTGAGATCTTACTGTTTTTTGAGGTCACCCAGGACAGCCGGGGTTCAGGGTGAGGGGCTTGAGGTACTTAGGACAGGGGCTTGAGGTACTTAGGACACTCAGTGTTTAGGGTTTAGGGTTGAGTTGTGTTTGTTGTCGTTCAGGGTTTGAGGGTATTCTCAGGGTCTGTTTACGGATTATGTGGAGCAATGTATGAGGTTCGGGCACGATGGTGCTGTCGGGTTCGGCTTCTTGGGAAGTAGGGCAGTAGGGCTTGCGTTTTGGGATCGGTGGCTTGGGCTCAAGATCTGAGATATACTTGTATACTTCCTGACAGTCAGGGCTTTTTTGAAACGAGTCCATGCGTTAAGCAAAGCTCGGTTCAGGGTCGACGACATGATACACAGGGTTGACATGTTTTCTCTTATTGTCCCTTTGTCTGCGCCATTTGCATATGCCAGTACCAAGGTACAGCAGCAGCCTCTACAGCTACTTAAACCCTTCCTGCTCAGCCCCGGGATAGCTGCAGTAGGGTCGACAACCGGTCCTCTAACCCTAAGGGTCCAAGTACCTAAGACTCACACATTCTCCCAAATATTACCCTACATATCTACTATCCGAAGCCCACCCTAAGGCTCCTGCACCCTGCAGTGAGATCCCCAACCCCGGCCTCCCTCCCCCAGAAAGCCCAAGACCCTCTTAGGAGTCTCAGGGCACAAACTGAATAGAGCTGTATCGGGTTTAGGATTTAGGGCTTTAGGGGTTTAGGGTTTAGGGTTTAGGGTTTAGGGTTTAGGGGTTAGGATTTAGGGCTTTAGGAGCCTCAGGGCAAGTATCCAACTATTGTTGCACTCTCACGGCCACGGCTCCTCTAAGTTTTGCAAGATCCAGCTAGGCCAAGCTGGCCATGAAAGCGCGCGGACCTGGCCGGGGGGAAGTCCTGCCGGTGTTTCATTTCATGCACGCGCATGCCCCTTAACCCCAACCCTCAACCTTGAGCCCCTAAATCCTCCTAAAGCTGTAAACCCTGAAGCCCTAAAACCCTGAAACCCTAAATCCGTAAACCCAAAAATAAAACCCTAAACCCTAAACCCTACTTAACCCTAAACCCTAAACCCTAAACCCTAAACCGAAGAGTCCGCGCCTCTGAATCTGGAGTGCAACAGGCCCCAGACTCCTACCTCAGAGCCCGGGTTCTGAAGACTCAAGCCTAACTCATACCGGTTTTAGGGTTTTGGGTTTAGGGGTTTAGGGGTTTAGGGGTTTAGGGTTTAGGATTTAGGCTTTAGGGTTTAGGGTTTAGGGGTTCAGGGTTTAGGGTTTAAGGTTTAGGGTAACTCCTCAAGCTGTTCAAGCTCCAACCAGCTCAGGTGCAAAGGCAGCCTACAACAAGTTTGTGAAGGGGCTGCCCGGGAAGGACCCCCAAACCCCTAAATCCCCAAACTTTTCTACACCCCCCAAAACAAACCCCTCAACCCAAAACCCATATTTGTTTTTTACCCCTAAGCCCCGCAAACCCTAAACCCTAAAACCCTAAACCCCCAAACCCCAAACCCCTAAGCCCCAAACCCTCTTGCGCTTCGGCAAGGATCTCGATGGTTCTTTAGAGACCTGGGCTTCGGCTTCCGGATTTCTTTTGGACTCTTTCGGATCCTTTTAGGGTGTCGGGCTTTTGGGGTTTTAGGGGTTTTGGTGGTTTTAGGATCCTTTAGGGGTTTAGGGTGTCGGGCTTTTGGGGGTTTTAGGGGTTTTAGGGGTTTTAGTGGTTTTAGGGGTTTAGGGGTTTCGGGTTTCGGGTGTAGGGGTTTAGGGTGGAGGGCTTTGGGGGGTTTTAGGAATTTCGGGTGTAGGGTTTAGAGTGCAGGGGTTTAGGGTGTAGGGCTTTGGGGGTTTTAGGGGTTTCGGGTGTAGGGTTTAGGGTGCAGAGGTTTAGGTTGCAGGGCTTGGGGGTTTTAGATGTTTAGGGTTTCGGGTTTCGGGTGTTGGGTTAGGGTGTTGTGAGTTTCAGGCTTTACGGTTATTACATCCGTTGCAGAGACATGCGCGGGTTTAGGGATTTAGGATTAAATTAGAGCCTAAACCCTAAACCCTGAGCCCCTAAACCCTAAACCCTAAGCATTATTAGGGATTAGGGCTTAGGGGTTGGGGTTTAGGGTTGCCCGGAACCTTACTCCCGAAGCGACATGCCAGGTCCACCCAGGCCGGAGGTTTGCCAAGGAGAATGATGCATTCATTGGGGTTCCAAAAGAGAAAGGTTTAGGGTTTAGGGTTTAGGGTTTAGGGTTTAGGGTAAAACTCCCTAAACCACAGCCTTAAGCCTCAAGCCCCCGAACCCGAACAAAAAAGTAAGTGCAAAACCTTACACGCCCTAAGCCCTAAACCCTATGAATCATGGAATCATCTACTACCCCCACCTATACCACCGTGGCGTGAGCACCTTGCGAAGCTTGCGTCTCAGTCGACTGGTCCTTGCCGTGCTATGGGCCCTAAACCTCAACCGCATGCCTTATCCTCAGCCCTGTAGGTCAAAAGCCTCCCTAAAAAAACGAACCCTGAACCCTGAACCCCGAACCCTAAACCCTCAACCCTGAACCCTGAACCCTAAACCCCAAACCCTAAACCCCGAACCCTAATTCCTAAACCCTGAACCCTGAACCCAAAACCCTAAACCCTGAACCCTAAACACCTTAAGCCCTGTAGGCCGACCACACTGAATCCTATAGACCGGTGATATAGGGGCCTTAATAGTTAGGTATATTATACTACAATAAGGAACCCCCCAAATTGTATTCGTGATTATTTAGGCCCCTATATTAATCTAACTCCTAGAACCTGGCTGACATTCTGAACCCTTCCCCTCCGGCACCTTGGACTCTAAAAACACCAGAAGCTCCTTCTAAAGCGATACCCTAAGGGTCCATGTACCTAAATAGCATATACTTAGGCCTTAATGTAGTCCCTGTATGGGTACTTTAAGGTCAAAGTATACTGATATGGGTACATGGACCCTTAGGGATATGAACCCAAAACCCAACGCTAAAACCCCGTGAGCCCCTAAGCTCCATATGCCGCTAATGTAGGGGCCGAAATCATTACCGATACTATTCTGGGCAGGTTCCTTACTATAACTGCAGTATAATTGGGCCCCAAAACCCTATTCTAATTATGAAGGCCCCTGTATTAGGCCACATACGCAGAGACTCCAAAACCCTTTAACTAAGGAATATACCTTAAATCATATTAGGGATCCTATTATAATTTAAGGTACATTCTTTAGTTAAGGGGTTTCGAAGTCTCTGGGTAAGCCTTAAAGTCAGGCCCTACGTGCCCCGAAGCCGCATAAGCCTAGCAGTACAAGTCAAAAGCCCACAAGGCTCGAAGTCTCGTAAACCCTCCCCAAAATCTACCGCAACCTACCAAAATCTACGTTTTTTGTAGGGTCCCTAAAAAATCCATATCAGGGCTTATAATAAGAGCATATAAAAAGTAGGTTATGGCAGTTTAAAGCAAAGCTTAAGCTATATATATATATATATATATAGACACCTGAAACACTAATGCCCTAAAGCTGCAAAATCTTAAGTCAAAACCCTAAGCCCTTATACCAAAAACCCCCTAGTTAGACTCTGGAATACAATACATGGTTTTTTGATGATCTGTTCAGGATCTAGTTGATACTTTACGGCCAGGATCCCATAATGAGAAACGAAGCTAGCCAAGGAAAGGTATTACATTTTTGGGGTCGAAGAAAGCCCCTAAAACTCCGAAAACCGTAATCCGTTAACCAGAAAAGCCCTAAACCCGAAGGGCCCTAAACCCAAACCTAACCCCTTAAACCCAAACTCCCAAAACCCTAAAGCCCAAAGCCCCAAAGCCCAAACCCCACACCCAAACACAAACCAAGCCACAGGAAGACCGCCTCTTCTACGGAGACCTGGTCTTCGGCGTGAACTTCGGCACCGATACCCGGGGGCGCCCTGGCGGATTTTGTTTAAGAGGTTTCGGGTTTAGGGTTAAGGGGGTTTAGGGCTATTGGGTTTAGGTTTTAGTGGTTTTTAGGAGCTCGGGGGTTTCGGGAAATCGGGATTTCATGATGTGTATCTACATATAGACCATTCTTACATGGTGTTTGCGAGGGATGCTAAGGGTA